GTGACGAAGAGAAACCATGACCAAGATTAGATTCGAGTCTTCATGCATTGCAATCTGCAGGTATGGCCATTGAAAATGAAGAAGAGGATTAAGGGGGACCAAACCTACTACCAGAATGGGAGATTTAGATTGTGGTTGTTCTTTGGATTCTAGCTCTGTACACCATTCTGGTTGATATTCTAGCTAAAAATAGGGTTTGCAACCCTGAATAAGAGGAGGGAGTGTTCCTTTGAGCTTGGAATTGAAACCAATTCCAATTCTACAACCATCTCAAATCTATGAATCAGAAGCAACAATCTTAAACATATTTGGAAATTGTTTTGTTATTGTTTAAAGTTTAAACAAAAATGAAATATCAGTGATACATACAAAAAACAAAAGTTATGCATACAAACACAACAAATTTCTTTAATGGATTTGGTTGGTGATTCTGGTTTCAACCTATCATCCATGTCTGTGCACGGAAATATCAACATTTTTTTGTGTTGAAAGGAACTTAACAACATGTGCCATGAATTAAAAAAAAAAAAAAAACATTTACCTTTCAGGCTCTCATTTCCATGCTAAAGGGTTGAATCGAGTTCTACTTGCAGGATTCAGCAACTAATTGCCACCATTGAAAACCTCTATATATTTGTAAGAATACGGTGAATAACATTACTTAGATAAAAGAACTCTCTAATTAAGGTGAGTAGGAAGATAGGCATATGGCTCTTTCCCATAGAAGATTTTCTGATATGGATTAAAGAACAAAGGCGTTACAGCCAAAGAAAAATAAATAAATTAAGGTGTTAAAACTCATTAATATAGTTCACAGGCAAAAAATAGTGTGCCAGACAGGCAGACATGCTACAAAAAACTTAATTATATAACACCTGATAAAGACAAAAATAAATAAATACAAAAACATTAATGCAATAAATTAAACAGTAGTAGCCTATATATACTTCTTTCCGCCATTTATGCTTCAAAACAAGAATTCGGATGCTGTATTAATGAGAGTTTATCATTGCTTCTACAGCTCACTGAACAGATATTGCATTCAGTTAATCCTTGCTCTTCAAGAATTGAAAGGGCCACAAATATATAAAATAGAAAGGGAGGTGAGACATCCTCTCACCACAAGGCTCACTCATACAGACCTCCTTTTATCATTTCTCACATGTGGTTAGTTATTTTTAAATTAAATTAAAAAGTTAAAATAAAAAACCATCTCCATTACTCAAATAAAAATGGTCTTAACTGCTTCTAATAATAAAATCCATTTTTGCTATTGCTAATAATCTCTCTCTCTCCACAACAGTCAATGTTCGTAACCATCCCATTAAATCCTAAATCTAACATCTATATATTAAAGAAAAAGGTTGTTCAAATAAACCCTCGGCCCAGTTTGGCCCATACCAGACATGACCTGTCACAGTAGCTAGTGGGCCGTTCTGGCAGCATGACCCATTTTACATTCCTACTTTTAAGTTGCATTTTAGACTTGAAAAGCAAAACCCTTTGACTGCATTTGTTTTTGGTGTAAATATGAATTGGTGCAAAATTCCACTGATCAACGTTTGGATGGAGTATAGTTTTATATCGTAAATTGATGTAAACTTCACTCATGGCAGAGTTTTATACATTATCAACAAAGTCAATGTAAATATTTACATCAATAATTGCACTTCTCAAAGTTATAACGATTCAATCATTTAAACCAATCGATATTCAGCTCCTTCAATATTTACACCGAAAACAAACTAATTCATCATACTTTGATTAAGAATTATGCGACAGCCGACAGTACGTACTTCCGTTCAAGGACATTGGATGAGATGAGGGGGGAGAGGCGACTTGGAGGGCATTAGAACTGAAGACCCCACCATCCAAATAATATTGGATATATATCGGCCTTACAGCCTAGACCTCATTCACACATAAATAGGTAAAAAAATCAACAAAAATGTTTTCGGTTAAAGAAAAAAGGACTAGCAGTGGTGGATATCAATATTAACTCTTTTTGTTTGGAGATAAGAAGTGAATATACAGACATAGTTCTATTTTCTTTTTGCAGACAGTGTGGAGTACCGATGTGTACGGGATCAGGCTTCACCAACCCCTCAAAAATTCCAAACAAACAATAGATTTTGAGTGTGGGAAGTTAGGAAGAAAAGAGTACCGATGTGTACAGGATCAGGCTTCACCCACCAATCATGTATGATGTTGCTTTGACTTTGAAGGGGAGAAGATAAAAGTTCAATCCTCTTATGTGGGTTAGCTTATATCCCAATTAGTGGGGAGTGGGGATCTGTGTGATGCACAAGCTTTGTTAGAAGAATTTGAGATAAAAGGAGTTAGGGGTATAACTTGAGTAGGCCTAATCTGAGCTCGATCCAATTCAATCAAAGATTTTGCACAGGTTGGACTTGACTTTTCAACTTCAAGTTGGGCTTAGGCCATAAAACTCAGGCCTAACCTAAATTTAGGTTGGGCTTGGGTTGAGGCCTTGAGTAGCCTGAGTCTAATTCAACCAATTTGAGCCCGCCCAACATTTTGTGATATACATGTCTATATATTATCAATATATTCTACCTAGAAATTGGGCTACAAAGCTCAACACGTCCAATCCCAAGCCTAGTTCAAGATGTTGGGATAAAGCTCGGATTAGGTCTAGGTTAGTAAGAGAAAAATCACTGGTAATTTTCAACAATTATTGCCAAATTACTAATATATAAAAAAAATAGAATAACAATAATTACTAATAATTTACTAACCCATGCGTAGGTTTACCAACTTAGGCCCAACCCAAGCTTAACCTAATATCTTTGGGTTGGATTTTGGGCTTGAGCGCATTGAGCTTTATAACCCAAATTGGCACAGGCTCAAATTGGGTTGGGTTGAGCTTAAACTACTTGAGACCTCAACCCAAACCCAACCTAAGTTTAAGTTAGCCCTAAGTTTTTTAGGCCTAAACCCAGCTTGAAATTTAAAATCTCAAGCCCAACTTGTGCAAACGCTTGGGTTAAACTAGGTTGGCCTCAATTTAGGCCCACCCAACCTAAGGTACACCCCTAGCTCATTTTGCCTCAAATTCTTTTAACAAAACTTGTGCATCGCAAGGTCCCTGCTAGTAATTAATAGCATCAATTTTAATTTATAGTTATTACTACTAATATTAATTACTAAGAATAGTAATATTTTATGGTATTTTTTAATTATTCACAAAAAATAGCTAATAATTACTTTTAAATTTTATATTAGTATTTACAAAAGTACTAATAAATTTATAATTATAGTTAATAATTATTAATTATGAATTAATAAATTTTATAATTCTTAATTTATAAAAATATTACTATTATTAATAGTAATAATATTTAATTGAATAATCAATTTAATTATTCATGAAACAATTATTAATTTTTAAATTTTAATATTAATAACATAATTAATTATTATTGGTAATTAATTAACTTTTTTGGTAATATATCACTAATTAATTAATCAATAGTTATTATTATATTACTAATATTCATTACTAAAAACAATAATATGTTTTAGTATTAAATTTTGGAATTTTTTAATAAATCATGGTTATAAATAATAGACTTTAAGTGAATATTGATATTTTCAATTAGTTATGAAAAGAATTAATTAGTTTTAGTAAACTGTTAGTAAATTGTTAACAATATTAGTAATTATTACTAAAATGAAAATTATTAATTATTAAAAATAGTAATACTGTTTGAGAATTTTTAATTAGTCACAAAAATAATTAATTTATTTTTGTATGAGTTACAATAAAATAAAATGAAATTATTAATTATAAACAATAGGTAATATACCATTCAAATAAATGGGTTGGATTAATAAAAACCAAACCATATCCGATCTAATAAAATACATCACTTTAATTAAGGAGAGTAGCTATTTGGGTAGAGAGAGCGAGGAACGTGAGTTGTAGAAAAAGATTTTAGGTAAAATATATTGAGCTAATTAGGAAATGGAGATAGAGGGTATTGAGTTGGCTTAATAGAAGTGATGGGAAGGGGAGAGGAGAGAGAGTCAAGGAGAATGCAGGGTTAAGGTAATGGAGCCTATTAATCTCTCTCAAGGTTTTTAAAACTAAACCAGTCAAGGGTCCGGTTCTCGGGTCAAACGATCTGACCGTTCGAACCAAATAGACAACCTGTTTTGACAAAAAATAAAAAATAAAAAATGGCTAAAATTATTGGATAGTTCAAACGGTTTGACTACTCGAGTCAGAGGTTTGCTAACCGAATCAATGATTTTTGGCAAAATAACGGTTCCTGACCAGTTCCAAGTTTTTTCGGTTTGACCGTCTGGTCCAATCTAGTTTTGAAAACCATGATCTCTCTCCCTTTTCCTTTTCGTCCTCAATCTTCATTCTACAATTTTGTTAGCTTTTTGAGTTTCAACCCTCTATTATAATATTTCCTATATAATTTAGTTGTTTAACTCATGGTTTTCAAAACCGGACAAGAAAAACCGGGAACCGACCAAGTGATTGGTTCTGTTTTACCCTAGAACCGTTTTTCGTAAAAAACCGTTGATTTGGTTAGCAAACCGCTAACTTGGGTGATCAAACTGTTCGAACTATTTGAACCATCCAACGGTTTTGGCCGTTTTTTTTTGTCAGAACGGGCCGTCTATTCGATTCAAATGGTTAGACCATTTGACCCAGAAACCAAACCCCTGACCGGTTAGTTGTCCAATTTAATTTTAAAAACCTTGGTTTAACTTTCTATTTTTGTAACTATTTCAACACTAAAACCCTAAATTTTCCCTTTTTTCTTGTTTGATTTTTTAGCACCTAAATTCTTTTATATGAACTATATATATTAATTTATGTTTGAATAATCCTGTTAAAATTTCAAGGGCAAGTAAAAGAAAAAGAAGAAAAAATTAACCCAATGAAATTAAAGAGACGGTGCACAGGATAAAGGAATTGAAAGCAATAGCCCGTGAAAAAGCACTTGAGACTGACACAACACAAGTGGAAGAACAACAGCACATCGTTGAGAGTCCGCGCCCTTATCCTACAGTACATTGGCCCTCTCTCTCTCTCTCTCTCTCTCTCCTTTGTGGCTTTACACCTTGATTTTGTACACACACATCTGAACCCTTGGAAGTTGGAACTGCCCCATTTGAAACTCAAGCTCTAATCTCTGATATCCCACCAGAATTTGAGCAAACCTGGGTTAAATCAAAGGCCAGTTTGAGAGGAAACGAGATCAAACGAGAGATAGAGAGAGAAAAAAAAAAGGCCCAACCCAACGAAATGGAGAACAACAACAACAACCAGCAAGCTCAATCCTCGTCGTACCCACCTCAACCCCCATTTCACCATCTCCTACAACAACAGCAACAACAACTCCAGATGTTCTGGACATATCAACGGCAGGAGATCGAACAGGTCAATGATTTCAAGAACCATCAGCTCCCCCTGGCCCGCATCAAGAAGATCATGAAGGCTGATGAAGACGTCCGCATGATTTCTGCCGAAGCCCCCATCCTCTTTGCCAAAGCTTGCGAGCTCTTCATACTCGAACTCACTATCCGCTCATGGCTTCACGCTGAGGAGAACAAGCGCCGAACCCTTCAGAAGAATGATATTGCTGCGGCCATCACCCGTACCGGTATTTTCGATTTCTTGGTCGATATTGTCCCCAGAGATGAGATCAAAGATGAAGCCGGTTTGGGGCTCGTGGGGAATGCCACAAGTGGGGTCCCCTACTATTATCCTTCCATGGGGCAGGCTGTACCCGGTGTTATGATCGGACGTCCGGCGCTTCCTGGTATGGATGCTGGGGTCTATGTTCAGCCACCATCACAGGCTTGGCAGTCGGTGTGGCAAACGGACGAAGGAGCGTATGGCAGTGGAGGTAGCAGCGGACAGGCTAATTTCGACGCACAAGGGTATGTACTTCATTCAACCTTCTCATTCGCAGTAGAGTAAAAACACAAACCCTCAGAATATGAATTTTTGAGTGATTTGCTTTTCGGGATTCTGAAATTCTGGAGGTTTAGCTTATACGATGTGGGTTTTATTCGAAAAGCGCTAAATTTATTTGGGTCCCGTCTGTGTTGTGAGATGGGTACTATGTATTTGTCATTTGTGCCTTTTGAGTTCTTCATTTCTTTTCTTGTGCTTATAAGTGTTGTTGTTGATGTTGTTTGGATGACGCTCTATAGATATTGCCTTTACTCTCTTGTTTGCATTTTAAGGCTTTTAGGTGTGTCTAATTGTCTGAATGCATCCCGTGAACCATCTTCTTGTTTGAGGCTTTGAGCCTATGGTTTTTGTGTAATCTAGTCGAATAAATACCTCGGGAGCTGAAGATTGATTTATGAATTTTGGATTAGGGGTTTTCTTTCCTTTTTCCGTTTTTTCACACAATGTGATGCGAAAATTAGGTCAGGAAACTAGTCTCTGCGTTCTGATTCTGAGGAAACCATGTAGATGAAAAGGCAAAGGCCACAAGTGGCTAGATATACGCCACTTACATCTGATAGTGTTGTTTCAATTATTAACTTCCAGAGGGAGGGTGGAAGCAGAATGGTGAGAATTTTGGTGACTTAATTGCTGTTTTAGCGAAATTAACTTCTTGGAATAATATATAGTTCTACCATCTTTGTTATGCCAATCTTATTTTTGGGACATTTGTTTTCCTTTATCTGTAATTTTAGTATAGGTATATATTGCTTGTATGTAGGAATCTGGATATCATGTGGTTTGCATGTAGGGGATGATCACCATCTTTGCATGCATCACATTCTTTTATACCATAGTGGGTATGGTGAGTGTCTGAAGAAATGGAAACAGAAAGTTTGCACTTATTTTTGATACATATAATTGTCTGAATGGAAGAGATAGGAACTATCATTAAATGGTGAAAGAATATATTATTATCCAGTGTTTTGAAAGTGCGCATAGAAACTGCAAGGGTTTCCAGGAGTTTGAGGTGAGATGGCTGTCTGAATGAAAACACTAAAAAGAACCTTATCATATAAGAATATGTAAATCCTAATTTTGAAAGAAAAGTCTGTAAGTTGGTTTAAATGTTGTGTTATTAACATTCTAACCTTGCAGGTTTAAGTCCTAAATAGATTAAACTGTATAAACTCTAAATATCATAGCCACAACTCATGGTATAGTAACTTACCCATTAAAACATCAACTTCAAGGTTAATTCATCAAAACAAAACACCATGCGAGGTGAGGCACACAAAACGAAATGAGCTTTGCCTGTGAATTTAGGCTTGTCTTCTTCTTCAAATGGTGCACATGGTAGTTTTTAATTCCTTGTATATGCAGACTCCACATAAGCAGAATTCAGGGCCCTTCTTAGAGGAGCTTGTCTAGTTAGACAGTTCCAAATTGCATTAGGTGGTAGCAAATTATGGCAACTGGCCTACTTCCTAATTCAGATTGGGGAAATGCTGACAGCAAGAAGTTCTCAAATAAGATAAATTATGAGGGGTTTAAAAACAGTGTATAGGTTGGCTAAATTGAGAGAGGGTCATCTTTTGTAAGGTAACAGTTCTTTGCTCGTATGTTTTGGTGTTGGACTAAACTGTTTGTCTATATATTGTACAGCCTTGTTCATACTACCATGAGTTGGTGGTTGGCAAAGTCAAGGCTTCTCTATTCTATTGGTCATCAATTTTAAAGGAATTGGTGTATGTATGGAGTAACTTTTGAGTGTGGCAGAAATGTGTATATATTGATATAGATGAGTGGAAAACCTAGAAAGGATAAGGTCAGAAATGAAGTAGTTATTCAAAGGAACTTAGGAGCAGCTTGCAATGAACCCTAATGCTTTTCATATACAATCCCAACCACTTATATCTTCTAATTAGGGGAAAAGGTGTACAAACAATGGTTATGCTTCAATAATTGAATGTCTCCTAGTGAAATTGTTGAACATTACCATTGATCTTCCTCTTTTCTCGTCTTGGTGGAGTTGGGGGGGGGGATTGATTATAGTGTTTCTTCTTGTTTGGAGATCACTAATTAGGCAAAGCAAGCAGGATTTTTTTTTCCTTTTCTTTATTTCATTTATTCTTTGTAACTTAACATGAATTTTTTGGTAAACCTGGACTAACAGTTACTTTGTCGTGCATCTAGTCAATTCCATATGGTTAGGATAAGGGTGGACTTGTGGAAATGATGCTTCACTGTGTCGCTTAATGTACCCAAGGTTCAAAGCATTGATACTCTTGATATGCAAAATCAAAGTTTGTACATCTTTTTATTGTTTTGTCTGATACTTTGCCATACCTTTTGTCACATCATGTAATATATATAAAAAACCGAACCTTTAAAGCATTAGTATTTAACGTTTCAACCACCCCAAGATATGATACAATACGCCCAATATTGATACCATGAACCTTGAATGTGCCTAACCATATGGATTGATGGGTTTCTTCTTTAATATTCATTCAGAACTTCCTAAGTTCCTAGATAGTCAAACTACAGTGACCACAATGTTCTGACGAGGGAAACACAACAATTTCTTTGAATCTAACACACCAACTTCAACCTTTGCAGTACATGGAATTTGATGATAGTAGACTGTGCATATCACTCATACATGTAATTACCCATTTTATACAACAAATGCAGATACTGTCTACAAGGCTCAAATTATATATCAGTTGCAAAGCATGGGACTTAGTCAGGTTGTTACATTAGTTTTATCATTGTTATGTGTCTATTCAGCAAATGTGTTGACAATTGAGTGGGTGTTATCTATTGTGATTGTACTGCCTAGCCACTCTTTTCTTAGGCACTTGCATTTGTATCAAAAAAATTGTGGATTTTTTTTTGGTGATTTATCAAGATAAAACAATGGTAGATTGATCCATCACCGGTTGATGTGTTTGTAACAAAATTGCAGATAGAAAGCCCCAGCAATGCCCTTGCAATCAGTTGCACAGAATATGGATCCGTTTATGTTGGAATTTGGATGAAGCAACTGGTCATGAGTCTTCAGATTACTGCTCCCATGGCCTCGTGGGCGTCGAGCATTTTCTAATGTGTTTGACCTGTTTAAGACCTGAACAGATATAACCTATAGCATTATATGTATTGGGAAAAGTTCATGATCCTTGTTTCTTTGATATTCATCTCGATCTTGCAACGTAAGCAGACAAAGTCATGCTTTTAATGTCCCATCGTCGTGGTCATCTTCAGTAATCAGTATGACCCTGATCAAAGCCTTTATTCCAAGATTCTAAAAAATTCAGCTTTATCTCAACTCAAGGAGTCGTTGTTTTCCATCTATTTCCCGAATTCCATTCTCTGTCCAGCATAGCGAAGCGGAGTTTAGAGACTTGGGGAATTTATGCTTCGATTTTGCGTTTTTTTTTTTTTTGTAGATTTTACTTGTGTCCTTTCAAATTCAATCACCATGGAAGCCTGCTGCACTTACGCTTGGAGTTCTTTCATTTTGTCCAAATTCTTGATCAAGTTGACAGAGCTTTGGGATGGGATGGATGAGACCTTCTAAATTAAACATGTATGTACTGTCTGTTTAGATATTTACCAAGTCTACAAAAGTCTGCCAAGTGGCAACCCGGAAACCAGAATACGCATGATGATACGAACTCGATTCAATGTCTGATGGATCTTTGAAAAGGCCAACCGAATTTGAATTTGACTAATATTCAAATATACGATTTCAATTCAAATCCGACCAATTAATATATCCAATCAAATTTAATTCAATTGTTTTACTATCATACCCTTTTTCAATTTAAGAAATAGCTTGTATTACAAATACGTACTAGAGAGATAAGAATATTTAAGTAATTTCATGTGTATATTAATGTTATATTTGATTTGGATATTTATCGGGTTGAATCAGGCAATATTTGGATTCAATCTTAATATCTGAAATTGACAAAAAAAATCGTATTCGAATTATTTGAATTCAACCCAATTATCGAATACAATATTGAACTTTCACCCCTAGTCTAGATACAAAATAAATTGGGATTAATTAATAAATTAAATGAAATGTTATTAAATATTATGTATTATTAATTAAATGAAATAAAAATGATTTTGGTATTATATATCATGACTAAATAGCAAATGACTTCTATGAGACCTGAATCTATCATTTTTTTTCTACTTAAAAAATCTAAATAAATAAGCAACATTCGAGCTGATTTGACTATTATATGTAAGTCTTATATTGATGTTTGAAAAGGATGTTGTCCACGAAATTAGATCAAGATGGGAAAAAACAGAGAGTGCATCTAGACTCAAGACAATACCGTGAAAAAAAAAAAAACTTTATAAAATGGTCATAAAGAAAACAATGTTGTAAGGAGTGTTGGGCAATCAAAAAAACATGTCAAAAGATAAGTGTGAAAAAAAATGCAATTGTTGAGAATTGAGATGTAAGATTGGAAAAGCTAGAAACTTTCCAAAAAAAATAAAAAATAAAAAAAGAAGTTTGACAACAAGATTTTTAATGATAGCCATTCCCCACAAGCCCACACCACTTAATGGTTAAAAGAGGGAGAGCCAATTGATTAGAAATTTAGAATTTCTCCAAGTTCATCAAGAAACCCTTAAAGATTCCTTGAAGAACTTCAAGTTCAATGGATTCCCCCTAGAATAGAAGGGATAAAGATAAACTTTAATGTGCCTAAAAGATCAGATGGCAGATGCGTTGTTGGTGTTGTAGCTCGAGATTTTGAAGGAAGGATCCTATTTGTGATTTGCAAAGTTATTGGAAGATGCTCGATAAATGTAGAAGGTTGCACATCGGAGCAAATTAAATTAGTGATCAAGTTTCTGCAATGGAGAATAATGATTGAAGAAGACTCAAAACTAATAGTGGATGCCTTAAGTGGTCGTGATGATCCACCATGGAACATGAAACCTACTATCAAAGAATGCTATGAGATTTGTAGTAGGCATGCCTTAACGGTTATATTCAGGCGCGTCTATTTCGAAGTCAACTTTCCTCCCTTTAATTGATTTCATTTACATTTGTTTGTGTGATGCTTGGGGAGGTCCTCCCCTAGTTGGGTGTAGTTTTTCCTGCTTTACACTTCCCCCCTCACCCCCCCCCCCAAAAAAAAAAAAAATGATAGAATTAGAATTGACTTGTTCAAAAAATTTTGCAAGGTGGGTTTCACATGAAAAGCCTAAAAGCATGTATGGTGAAAAATCCCAAAAGCCCCAATATTCTTTAACTCGGTCATGAAATCAACTGAACAATGAAACAGCTCAATGAAAGCTGAAACCCTCCCAAAATGGGTTCTAAAGCTTTGGGCTTTCCAGTTGTTATAATGTTACTCTTTATTAAAATCTTTCAATGCATCTCAACTCTCAAGACCATCCCACTATTAGAAATAGGTGGGAAAGTGTACTGTCACTTTTAAAGTGTGGATTAAGACAAAATGATACACTATCTCCCTACCTTTTTATCATGGGTATGGAAGTTCTCACTCAATTCCTCAATCGTGCGGCCAGTGAAGGAATAATTCATGGTTCTAAGCTAGGTTGTGATGTAGGCGCATGTGGCCCTGCCCAATAGCGGGCCTGCATGTGTTGGGCGGCGGTGTTCAGAGCGGACCCAATCAGGGCATGTGCGGAACAGAGTTCGGCGTGTATTCTGAAACCAGTAGTGTGACCGCACTTGGCGACCCCGGATGGCTGCGCTCCCCACGTAAGAACTGCATCCGGACCGTCTGAGCTCACCTACCTCCAAATAGCTTCAAGTATAAATAGGGGACAACCCCCTCAAGGTAAAGGATTAGAACTTAGACTCAAGAACAAGCACTTGAGAACACTTAGCTTCCTTCATGACCTCGTTTAAGTGTTCATACCTCAGACCTCGTCCACTTCGCACATCTCCCGTATTAACTTAACCGTCGGAGTCTCCGCCTCGGGTACCAACCCGGGGCCTCTGACATTCTCCACCTTTCACTCCGTGTAGGACCAACCTACTAGTCCTCGGCCACTCCGGACCTCGGACTCCCTCAACCGCACCTCAACTTAGGAGTGAATTGACAGTATTGCTCTCAACCCATTTTGACCGGCAACAAGTTGAAATCATAATGATTCATCTACGCTTTTTCTGATGATATCTTATTTTGCAAGATTGAGTTTCTATTGTTCAGAAAACAAATTATAGTAAATCTTCAGTCATGTTTAGTAGGAATGTACTCATCATCATCAGAAAATCATATCAACTATGCTCAACATTAAAATACGCTTATTGGGCTCCAAATACTTGGGGCTAAAATTGGGCTCAAAGGAAAGATGTGGTAATTCCTATCAAGAGCTAATAGAGAAAACAAATTATGTATATAAAAACTCATTGAAGGCCGAAGTTGATACGAAAACCTGTCTTCATCTATTCAGTAAAAGATGCGTTCTACTCTACCTCATTTGGAAATTAAGCAAGGAACAAACTGATCGATCTTTCAGACCACTCTATTACATCCTATGACAGTTTTTTATAACAACCATCCTTTTATGTGCAACCAATTTCTGAAATGGAACTGCCATCCTCTATGACATCTCAGCCTTCTCAATCAAATGGTTTGCAAATTGATAGGTCTTTTGATCCTAATACAGGTTATGCAGCTGGGATGAGCATTCATCATCAAATGCAGCACAGGGGTAAAAGTGAAACCATTGTGGGAGGAAAACTTTGCTGGGCAATTTCCAGCTATGATGCCGAAATGAAAGCCGTCCTTGCAGGCCTAGAGGCAGCTTCAATCATCTCTCTACAGCATCTCACAGTCTACAGTGACTCAAGTAAGCTAGTAAATCTTTGGAGAGTACAGAGACAAACCATATGAATAGATGGAGCCGCGTCCAAAGTTTCTTTGCTCCTTAATTCGTAACAAGCTCCCTACCAAAAGAATGTTAATTTCTAAAGGCATGAATGCTTATGGTGCTTGTAGTATACTAGTATTTATTTGTGAAGGGAAAGAGGATACTGACCACCACCTATTTGTGATCTGCTCCCTTGGCCCTTGCTAGACAAATTTGGTTAATAACCCATAACTCATTTAGCCTACCTGATGGTCTAGAAGGGTCGATTCTGGATTGGTGGAAACATCTTGTAAGATCCCGTAAAGGGTCATCCCTTGATCTGGACATTAAAGAAAAATCCTCTTTTCTTTCTTCTTTGGCACCTATGAAAAAATCGCAATGATAAAATTTTCAACAGTATTTCTGTTCCCCCTCCCATTATTCTTGAGAGGGATTGAAATTCTTTTTCCAAAAGTCCACCAATGATTATGGAAGAAACAAAGAGAAATTTTGGATTGCAGTTAGATGGATAAGCCAATGTTTGGATGCTATGAATATTGACTTTGATGCCTCCTCAATTAATGGCTTATGCTCTATTGCTTGTGTGGTTAGGGACCATTTAGGCCAACAGTATTGGTTCCACAACCATTAAGTTAGCGAAAGCTTGGGCTTCCCTTCCCATAATGTTGCCCTCAGTTTCATCAATAGGCGCATCATAATTGAAGGCAACTCAAAACTTGTCACCCATTGTCTCAACAAGAGTTTGGAGCCCCCATGAAGATTGAAACCAATCATTGAAGACTGTAGATGATACTTGCAAAGATCATACCTATGGTGGAGCTAACAAAGCAATGGGTGGTGGCAGCAACCCCTCCGCCTCTAGTCTCTCTCTTTCTCTCTCTCCTTCTTCTTTCCCCTGTCCATGTCATTCTCAGACCACCTATTCTCAATCTGCTCACTGGGCTGAATGGTCGAAATCCAAGAACATCATCGCCCTCTTCAGTATCATCCCGTTGGGTAGCTCCAAGTGTGGAGCATACTATAGTTTCATGTTTAGTGCAGGCACCAACATCCGTCTTGACCTGCCTGTCTGCATCCGTCAAGACAGGACAAGACTTTCCAAGGTGTGATGCTCAACGATAATTGGTTACATAAAAACAGAACTACTGCGAGGCTCTGCTCTTTGTTATATACATATGGTCTCAAATCAACCTATCCGCCTATGCTCTCCGTTCTTCCTCTCATTTATTTTCTTCCGAGACAAACTACAACCAAAACAAAACTACTGCAAGGCTCGCCTAAATTATAGGTATATACATAAAATCCAAAAGCAACCTATGCT